GCAGAAGGTGAAATTCGAAAACTTAAAAACAAGCGAAGATAACCAGCTGGTAATGAATAAGCTGTGCCGCTATTGTAAACTCAAACAAAACAAAAAAATAAAAAATCTTATTGTTCTGTTTTAATCTTACTGTAAATAAAAACGGGCCATATAAAAGAACCGAATTCTCCCATATGGTCGTCGGTGGCGCAACACCGCCGATCATATGCAATCGCGACGTGGAAAACACTTTCTCAAGTTCGAAAAAATGGACGAGACAGCCACCGACCTGGCGCCTACTACTCGGCGGCCGAGGCCAGATCCCCCTGCCTGCCCCACTATGACCGCAACCTGGCCGTAATCGCGAATCAAATTTATATCATCATATTATGTGCCACACGCGTCTTGGTAATAAAAAACCATCTGTTTGCGACCGAATGTTCGTTTGCGATAGTACAAGAGGTTTTCGGTTGAGGGTCGTGGAACCAAAATGCAGTCGATGCAGTATTGTGTGTGAAATTAGTTGTTTGTTTAGTCAAAAGTGTTTGAAGTGTTTTGGTTCAGTGTGTATATTGATGTTAGTCGATAAATAGTGTTTGGATTCGAATCATGAAAAGGGATTTGCAGTTTTTTCTATTCTTTTTTTGGTGTGTATATTTTTTGTATATCGCAGAGATATTTAAAGTTATAATTATTCGAGAACACTTTAGTTTTTTTTAAAACAGATACGTCTTCAAAAACCGTTGACGTTCTGTTAAAATGACATTACAATAATTAATTATTAATATTTTTACTACCCCGGATTTTTACTACTCTGGCATACTTGGGTTTTTATTTTTTTTGTAGTTTAAAAATTTATGACCTCACACCAAATGTATTTTTTGTATTTTAAAAATTTATAACCTCCCACCAAAATGCAGTGATGTATCGAAAATTATGCTATCGGAAAAATTCTGTTTTTACTAAATCTTTTCGGTTAGGTTAGGTTGTAAAAATTTAAATAATAGATTTGTTTTACTTTTGAAAACAAGGCTTTGTTAAGATTCAGCATGGCGCAGCTTTATTCTGCTCATTTTTGTATATCTTTTTGTTTATGAAATCCCTGGGGTGTGCATTCTTATATGGGACACCGTGTAAAGAATGATCTGCCAAAAAACTTTGCTAGATTGGACAACGTTATGTTTAAAATATAAAACAATAATAATAATGGTATAAAACTTCTAGAAATAGTTGGTATTAAAAAAAGCCTTATACACTCACCGGTACGAAAAACGGGCGCCTTAAAATATTGATGTATTCTAAAGTTTAATATATTTTATTCTAGTTGGCCGATTTTGTTAATTTTTTAAGGATTTGTAGCTAAATTATTTAACTTTTTAGTATCTCCTTCTAAATTAAAAATGAAACTTTCTATCTGTCAATTATAAGATGGAAAACAAAATGTTGATATTTTGGTGAAAGTTTTTCAAATACTCTGTAGAATATGTTAACAATGCAAGGAATTTAAAATCATTTTATTATCTAGGTACGTCTTTTCCCGATAGTTTATTTTTTGATTCATCTCAATATCTTTTTGTTAATGGAGATATTATCTTTTGAATAAGAGAGTAATGATTTACAGCAATTTTAGCATTGATTTTGGGTCCTCATCAACACACAAATAGTGTATGTATATTGTCTTTGTAATGCCACTGTCATTGAAAAGTCATATTATTATCGTTTATTGACGTTTGCTCTAGTAGAGATGGTTTTAAGTTCTGAAGTATTGGATATTGCTGCTTTAATTGATTATGATAGAGATCAAGTTTTGGACTTAAAACCATATTTGCTAGAGTAACTGAACAACAGACAATAATAATATGATTTTCCAAAGACAGTAACATTAAATAAATCATAAACACTATTTTATACGTCTGTTGACGACCAAAATCAAATTCATGGTTTTAAAATAAAACATTCGAAAAAATGTTAGTGTATCCTTCAAAAGCGAATATCCTCCAAAAAAAATAAAGCTTTTGAGATGAATCGAAAAACAAACTATTGAGAAAAGGTACACTTAGATGATAAAGTGATTTTTAAATTTCTTGCTTTGTTAACGTACCCCACAGGATGTTTCAAACATTCACCAAAATATCAACATTTTGTTGAACCAAACAAACCAAACCAAATCAATTTAGAAATAGATACTATAAAATCAAATAATTTAGCTACAAATTTCTTAAAAAAATCATCAAAATCGGCCCATCTTTTAAATACACGAAAATTTTAAGGTGCCCGTTTTTCGTGCCGGAGAGTATATTTTTAAAGTGCCCATTTTCGAGGGGAGTATATATTCTGAAGAAAACACAAAGTGGCGACCTGAAATTCTTGAAGCAATTATGAAATACTGGTGGGTGGCTAATAGGGTGTACGCAATTTGGTTCAACGATTAACTTTTCAGTATCCCTATCCAATATAATGAAGTGTTGTTAACAATCCAGTAAATGTTAACAATCACCAGGACATGCTAACATTTACGCATTGGACTGGTGAATGTTGTATTTTAAAGACATTTGTCGACATTTGATAGTAATTGTTAGGAGCTGTTAGTGATAGTAGTAACATGTACTAAAAGTTGTCAGTGAAGTCCCACTAAGAATAGTTCTCGGCTGTATCTCGAAAAGTATTAGGTAGGGATTACGGAAAAAAATATTTATAGCTAAAGGGGCTATGAGAAATTGCTGGAAATTATTTTCAAGTTTGTAAAACGGCCGCTAGGGGGCGCAACTGCTATGGAAAATAAGAAAATAGAATTTTTACAGAATTTTGCTTAGATAATGGGTACTATAAATAATAGCCTCATAATCTTCAATAAATTTTAGATTTTTTTTGTTAGAACCATTTTCCCCTATCTGCTAAAAGAAAATGGTGGGGGAAGGTTAGATCTATCTTTATTTAAATGTTAATAACTCCGGACTGGATGATCAGAATCCAACAAACGAGGGCTCGTTTAAAAGAGCGTTTCTTATTTTATATTATACCGTAAAAATAGGATTTGCAAAAAAGTTGCTTTTGACGTAATAGTATAAAAGTCAAATTATTATTGGATCAACATTTTGATAGTCTTAGCAGCGTTTTTTATCTTTTAATTGCTTTTTCAAAATGCCTTTATTATTTGAAGTAGTTGGAGTTGTTGGCATTTTGAAAAAGCAATCTAAAGATAAAAGACTATCAAAATGTTGATCTAATAACAATTTGACGTTTATACTATTACGTCAAAAGCAACTTTTTTCCAAAGTCTACCATGACTTCACTGAATCATCGTTTCTTGTTCGCTGTTATTAATATCTTAATTATTAGATATTAATACAACTGGTATTATGGAATTTCGTCGATTTTAAAATAAATTAACTGTTTCTATCTTATTTTTTTGTTAGAATGGGCATAATCAAGAGGGCTACTGGTAATCAAGGGCTTATTTTTTAGTATTTATTATAATATTGCTAATATCTTCGGTTTGAAAGAAGATATCAAGATGCGGTTTTCGCTGACTTTTTAAGCTTTTAATAATACTCTTTACTATCAGCTAAAATTACATATACTATCGTATTTAATTTTTTTGAAAAAACGCGCTATGTTTGTTAAATTGTAATAAAGCGCCCCCTAGTGTCTACGTTCAAAATCTTATTACTATTATTTTTACTGTATAATATAGAGTAAGAAACGCTCTTTTAAACGAGCCCTCGTTTGTTGGATTCTGATCATCCAGTCCGGAGTTATTAATATTTAAGTAAAGATAGATCTAACCTTCCCCCACCACTTTATTTTAGTAGATACGGGAAAATGGGTCTAATAAAAAAAATCCAAAATTTACTGAAGATTATGAAGTTATTATTTATAGTACCCATTATCTAGGCAAAATTCTGTAAAAATTCTATTTTCTTATTTTCCATAGCAGTTGAGCCCTCTAGCGGCCGTTTTACAAACTTGAAAATAATTTCCAGCAATTTCTCATAGTCCCTTTAGTTATAAATATTATTTTCCGTAGGCCCTACGGCTAATACTTTCCGAGATACAGCCGAGAGCTATTCTTAGTGGGACACCCGGTACAATAGGAAGATTGTTGATGGAAGTAGGTAACAAATAAAACTTTTAAAAACATTGAATCACCTCCATATTTACGCTAATCTGTTCATTTTAAAATTACAAGAAAACGATAGCAAAGCAGAACCCCTAAAATCAAAATATTTGCCTTTATACTCAAAAAGCATCAAGCGTCTAGGCACTGCTGGGCAACGACTATCAATCGTCACAAAGTTTCACAAATGATTTTTCAGTGCTTTGATTTCAACCTTCTTTTGGTTATTTCTAGTATTTTTAATTTCCAGAGAATAAGTTACGGTAAGCCGTTAGAAGCTAGTCAAAAAGCAAATTTTAAATGAAAGGTGTGACAATTAATAAATATGATGGTGAAACATAATTTTTTAACAAAGCCAAGCGGTTTACTATTAAAGTTAAATGTTTAAGTTAAAGGTAAGGTTTAAGCTTATTGGTTTTGCGTTAAACCTATATCACTAAATTCCAAATAGAATGAAGAGCGTCTTAGAATAAAAAAAATACAAGTCTAAAGGTCTTAAAATAAAAGTCTGAAAAATGTAGAAGATTAACAATTGTGAAACTATTTTGTTAAAATGTAGATATAAAAAAAATCATCAAAGCCTGTATTTATAACTACTAGCCACCCGAATTACCATCATTTGAAAGAAAGTATACCATCCTATTTAGCTGTTCGCTTACCTTAACAAGTCGAGTTTTTGAGCACCATTGAAAGTCACTTAAAAACATACTAGTGCTCTGACTAGTGGCACGTGTATGAAAATAGGCGTAGTATGGTGACAATGTTATGCAAATAGCTAGCTAGCGTAGTATGGTATGCAAATACTTAAATACATAATAAGATGACCATTACATATTTGTCTTTTTATTAGTTTACTCTTTTTGTATAATATGATTTTAATTACCTGTATATCTTTTTTTTTCAGCTTTAAAGGTGAAACTTCTTTTGAGGAGGCCTTTGGATCAGTTGGTGGCGCAGGGTATTATGCCACGTAAGTATTTTTATTTTGTTTATTAATGTCACTATCCTAGAAATACAGATTTATTATGAAAAATGAATGAATAAAATATCAATTATCTTTCTTCTTCTTCGGGTTCCATTTTCTAAGGGAGGTTGGAAATCATCATGGCAATTCTAACTTTATTAACGGCTGCTCTGAATAACTGGTTTGAAGTCATTCCAAACCATTCTCTCAAATTCTTGAGACATGATGTTCTTCTTCTTCCTTGGTTCCTTCTGCCCTTTATCTTTCCTTCTATTATGTTCTGCAGCAGGGCATATTTAGGTCCTCTCATAATGAGTCCAAAGTACTCAAGTTTTCTCTTTTTAAGGGTGTTAATCACCTCTTCGTCCTTCTGAATTCTGCGTCGAAGTTCTACATTTGTAACCTTGTCAGTCCATGCAATCCTCAGCATACGCCGATAACACCATCTTTCGAATGCCTCAAGCTTCTCCATTTCGGCCTTTTTAAGTGTCCAAGCTTCTGAACCATAGAGTAGAGTTGCAAATATGTAACCCTTTAGCATTCTTAATCTAAGCTTTAAGTTGATGTCTCTACTGCAGAGACATTTTTTGAGTTTTACAAAGGCTGCTCTGGCTATTTCTATTCGAGCTTTTATTTCTGCTGATTGATCCAAGTTTTCGGTCAACCAACTGCCTAGATATTTATATTTTTGTACTCTCTCCATAGGTGTATATCATCTATTAGAACATTGGCTTGGACATCTTATTTCTTAGTGATTATCATACATTTTGTTTTCTTAGGGTTCATTTTCAGACCATAGACTCTACACGTGTTGTTTAGTCTTTGTAGCGGTGTTTGCAGACCCTCCACGTTGTTTGTTATAAGGACGGTATCGTCCGCGACCCGCATATTATTTAAGACCTGCCCATTAATAGTGATGCCCTCCTTTCTACTAGTCAAGGCCCGAAAAATTTAAATTTGAATTCCGAAAAAATTTTTTAATTATCTACGATAAATGCCAGTTCGCTACTAAGTATAATTATTATTTAAAGATAATATTGATAAACAATTAATACAAAATTGCATTCATAAATTATGAATTTTAAATAAAGTAATCATTTCATACACTTTCCAAACATTAAGATTATTAATTAATGATAATTTGTCATAACAATAATAATAAAATGAAATAAGTTCAGATTTATGTAATAAATAAATTATCATTAATTCATTGAAGGTTGCTCATAATATGATTGTTTAATGAAATTTTATGTAAAGTAGTTTCATGGATATAAAACGTGGGATAATTATAGCTTTTGACATAAGAAATGTTGTTTAATATACTTAGCGTAGGTTGCGGTTTATTTTTTAATCATAGAAATAAAAGTAGTCTAGGAAATAGTGCTATAATAATTATTGTAGTAAAGTAATTGTTATTTCTGTACTTATTCTTTATAACGATTTTCATCGGCTCGAATTGATTCGTGAAGTGAAAAGGTAATTGTGATAGTCACTAAGACTAGTTCAGTATAAAAATATATTAAAAATATTTAAATCATCTTGTATATGAAAATGTTATTAAAATGTTCTCTGCTTCTCTACTATATCGCTCGCATATTTTGCAAACAAGATTGAATTGAAAGTATCAAATAGATAACCTGATATACAGGGTGCTCCAAAATCGAGCATTTGTATCTCGGAAACCGTAATAGATACGAAGATGGTTAAATTGAGGCAAAGTTGCCTCCTTGGGATGTTCACCAAGATACCGTCAAAAAAGTTTTAAAAATTTCAAGGATTGCTGAGTTTTTTGAAAAAAAAAATCGGATTTTTTAAAAAATCAATTTATTTTTTTCCTGTCGTTACTTTTTAGAAAATCAAAAAACTAATTGCATATTCTTATAGCCAATTTATTAGGGCTATCTGATAGTATTTTTAGATTTTCAAATTAGCTGACAGTTTGTGAGATACAGAGGTCAACTTAAATTTAATTTTTTTAAATACGGACGTGCATTTTTTTTTCACGTTTTGAAAGAACTCGGTCTCCTGAGTACAATGACATGCCACACTTGATACTTTTGTTTGTTTTGGGTACCTTAACAATAACAAAACTATTTAATTATTATTTATAATAATTTCAAGTCCGATTCTGGTTTTGACTATCTAATCTGATTATATTCATCGCAACAATATTGATCAGCTATAATTAACATTGAATAAGGAAAATCAATCAGAGAGATTGAGATTGAGAGATTCTTCAATTGAGAAATAAATAATGTCCAGGTCAACAATTTAAAGATATTATTTTTAACTTTATTTACTGTGAATTTGAAATCTCAGTGTACGATCTAATAATATGCTTTATCGTTGTTAATATAAATAAATCAACTTCTACAAACTAGTTTCTAATGCTCTACATGTTCGAAAGGGTCCTCCCATCCTCCCTAATGCACAATTTTTTGTTGTTCAATCTTATTTATAGCTCTTTGAACATATCTTCTTCTTATACTTCGGAATGCTTTTGTACTCTTTATTGTAAGTATTGAAATATATTGATTTTGCTTTTACAAGTGACGTCAAGTAATGCCTCCTGCCTCGCCTCTTTTTTTTTGCGTTGAGGAGGGAGAAAATCTTGCTTAAGACACCCAAAGTTGGGTAGTGCCGGATTCCTACCGGCTAAAAAAAACCTCCTCCAACTACCACTTTACACTGGAATCCGCTCTCGCATTGCTTCAGTGCAAAGGGTGTCTAGATTTATCTTATGTCTCTTTGTCTCTCTTCGCTTTACAATTTATGATATTTCGGATTATCCGATATATTAACGTCCATTGTTCTTCCCCTTCAACTAAGTATATGATAAATGTGGATAAGTCGAAGTCCTTATCGGCTTCCATACGGAATTGTTCCCTAAAGCACTGCCATCGATCGCACGCAAACAATGTATGCTGGACATCGTCGACCTGACCGCAGTAGGTGCATGGTGCACTATCAACCCTACAACGATCATACAAATATTTTTTAAAACACCCATGGCCAGACAATGCTTGACTCATGAAGGAATCCACTTCTCCGTATGATCTGTTCAACCATAATTGAATGTCAGGTATTAACTTGTATGTCCATCTGCCATATGTTCCGGTATTCCATTTGTCCTGCCACTGCCTCGCCTCTTGGCAATAGGTCCAGGAACCTCGCTGGCCATTATACTGCTCTACCATTCCCAGTTCATCTTCCGGAGAAACGATTTGATTATATTATATTTATATTATTTTTCACTATTTTATTGCATTTGGTTTTCCGTATTCAATGTTTTACTCAAAGTCATTGTTAAGTTTGAAAGGTTATCAATATTGTAACGATAAATACATTAAATATTTAAAAAAAAAACAGAGCTGGACTTGAAATTAATTTTAATAAATTGTGTTCAAATATCCGAAACAAAAAAAAACTATTTAGTGTGGCATATCATTGTACTCAGGAGACCGAGTTCTTTCAAAATCTGAAATAAAAAATGCCTAGTCCGTATCTCACAAATTATCAGCTAATTTGAAAATCTAAAAGTACTATCAGATAGCCCTAATAAAGTGGCTATGAGAATGTGCAATTCGTTTTTTGATTATCTAAAAACTAACGACAGGAAAATTTTTTTTTTCAAAAATCTTATTCTAAAGCCCAACTTTGCTCCAATGTAACCGTTCGTATCTATTACGGTTACCGAAATACCAATGCTCGTACCCCGAATTTGTAGCACCCTGTATAGAGCTGTTTTGGAACACTGAATCGCCCTGTATTTATTCACGGTCAATCGGTACACTTTATAATACGTATACATACGTAACATGTATTATATTTTGAAAAGAGTATTTATACATCACTTATTATTTATGCCGTGAATTATTAAAAGTATAAAGATCGATAGGCGCTACTACGCCTGGCTCTCAATTATTGTAAAGCCAATCGAAGCGTGAAAAGCGAGTCAAGTGCCAATCCCACATAAAACATTGCGAAACAAACGTATTTTTTGAATTCGTGAGACACATGTTTATTTTATTACCTATAAAATAACCTAAACTGCGTGTAAAGATCTCCGCAAGTGCTAGTTGGAAATCCGTTATTGAAAAAAAAATTGTCTCATGTGATTTTTCAAAAATAGTGTTTTTATTTTATTTTTTTTGTATGTTTTGACCTGTTGAATATGATAAATGAGTAGGTTGGTAAGACACGTGGTAATAATTAGGTAATAATTATGTCATACTTAAAACTGCGACATATTTTATGTGCAGTGCAGTGGAAATCGAGTGCATTCATATGTTAATTTGCGAGCAATTAACAATGCATTTTAATAAATTCGTACACTCACTTTATTACTTATAAAACATTCTAAAATCGAATTTCAAATTACCCGTAACTCCTAAATCGATATCGTATGAGAAAAATATTCAATTAATTGACAACCAGTAATTAGTAAAATGTGGCCGGCCGTAGCGCAAGCAGTTAGTGTGTCGATCTGCGGTGCGAGAGATGGGATGGTACTGGGTTCGATCCTCAGCCAGTACGCTCGCTTTGTTTATTTAAATAAAAATAGTTATTTATCTAAATAGAGCGACCAGCGAGCCGCCGCGCCACCTCAAGGAAGGCAATGGCAAACCACCTTGAGTATATTTGCCTTGTACAGCCTCTCAAATAGTGTCGTTCGGATTCGGCGATAAACTGTAGGTCCCCTGTACTTGTGAAATACTGATGACACATCACAAGTACATGCGAGAGGTGGCCGACGCTTTGTATAGAGTATGGCCACAAGTTAACTACAACAGATGCGAAAGAACACCGAATTACGCGTTCAGGTTTCTGTGACCTTCAGAAAGAGTTCATGGACAATCCGCATCAATGTATAGTTTGGGTTATTATTTGTTTGGGTGAAAATAATTTGCACCAATATGTTATCGAGGCATACAAAAAGGTCCACGGACTTCGAGACATACGAAAAATCAAGTCCATTTAGCGTGGGTCGCAATTTTCACACCTTA